ACCTAATTTTATTTGTGTGTTCGAGAAGCGACATACGTTTTGTCACTAGAACGACTGGTACTTCTAAATAGGTATCTATTAAAAATACTATAGGACCTTTTCGACCTTAATTTCGATAAATCCTATAACACAGAGATCGACATGAAGGAGATAGCAGCAATACAAAATACTTAAACGTTAAACAGACTCTCTCGTAAAATTAAAACCGAACCATAATAATAACAACAGTAAATATTAATATCAATATTCTTTATTGCCAACAAAAATCGCAAAAGCAATCGTCACAAGAGGCTGATCCAAGTAGCTAGTAACGCCACTGTACTTGCGCGTGTTAACCATTACGCATTGTAACGTCAGACAGCGTTTCGTGCGTTTAAACGAATATCAATATTTCGTCTCCGTTTTTCTCATAGAAAGAATTTTCTGATTTTCGTAAAATTTTGTAGATTTACTTATGAAACGATGCTTAATAATTTGATGATAGTTAAACGGATTTTTTTTATTTTGTGAACATTCCTATTGTTGAGCTGCACTCTGGAGACGACAACCTAGTACGTTAGGCGGGCGGCAGAGGCCCATTTTTCGTTCAGTAACCCAATATTTTGGTATAACTTATTGAAACCCACACCATCTTATTTATTAGGTCATAATAAAAGAAAAATTTATATACGGCGACTTTTAGTTTTGGTCGAGACAAAATTACGTCACAAAAAGGGAAAAATGAGGCACAAAAATCGTATACCATCAATATTTTTCCTACGAATCTACCGAAAAGGCCCTTTTTCACACGCCTTGACGTGCGGAAAAAAAAAATTCCATACTAGATGTAAAAAAATTTCTGCAAGCCAATGCGTGCGAAAAATGGCGTTTTTCTCACGCTTGTAGGAAAAATTGTTCAATCAAATTTTTCTGCACTTATTAGGAAAATAACTATTTCCTACGAGCCGTGCAAAAAATTGTAAATTGTCGCAGTAGTGCGAAAAGCTCATTTCCGTAAAGAAAAGGACTACTTTACGCACTAATGCGCAAAATTCTTACTGCACGGGTTGGATAAATAACTATTTCCTACGACTGCCTCTGAAAATGGAGTTTTTCGCACGCTAGGCAACCTCTGAAATTAGAGTTTTTCGCACAGCGTGCGAAAAAGTTTTTCACACGCATTTTAGCGTGCGAAAAAGTTTTTCACACGCTCCTCAGCGTGCGAAAAAGTTTTTCACACGCTTCAAGTTTTCTAAAAAATTAAAATTACATATTTGGTTGTTTTATTTTGCAGTTGTAGGAAAAGCATTGTAAAAAACTTGTTTGAAAACCTTTTTTCACACTTGCTCGACTTGTGGAACTCGCCTACGGCTCGGTCCAACAAACTGTCTCGCCGTGCGAAAAAAGTCGTTTTCAAAACTTGTTGTTTAAATAACTATCAAGTTTCAATAATGCATATTTATAATATTGTATCCTAGATACATATTTGCTGACCGATTTCCTTTTTTCGGGGATTGCAAGCACTGAAAATAACGTCAGTGCTGAGGTGAAAAAATGAAAATTTAGCAACCGGACGTCCGCTAGGCATATGGAAATTTTACTTACCTTTTGCACCGGCCGGCCGGAAAATATACCCCAACAGCTGACCGGCTTATGGGATTTTTTTTTCTGGTTTCTAATTATATCAAATTTGATTCTGTCGATTGCCATAAGCTCGGCCATAAGCAAGAAAACGCAGCCACCGAGTATTCTTTCAAAAGATCGCGCCCTTATTTCAACCCTTTTAATACGTGCAAACCTCATGATTCTGGTTTTTCACTATTCGATCGTTATAGTGATTATTAGTGAGCACGTAGAGAGGAACTAAAATCCATAAAATATACAGGGTTGATATTTTTTCAAAAAACTTCGGACACGTCGATTTTTGATTTTAGTGGCCGTTTTTTTGATGAGAATTTCATACATCTGTCAAAACTGGTTTTCCAACAATAAACTGACATGTTTTGATTGTTGATTTGAACCAATCCGATTGGAATTACGCGATAATTTGCACTAGTGCAAATTATCAGATAATTGCATAGTAAGTGGTGCGAAAACTGGTGTTTTGGCATTTTTTGACAAAAAATTTAAATTTTTGATTTATGAAATTCTCTCATTAAAATTAAATCATACATGATATCAATAGTAATATAACGAGTGCAATGGAAATATATTTATAATTTTTGACAAATTTGCACTCATGCATTTTTAACTGAAAAATGCATTCGGGCAAATTTCCCAAAAATTATCAATAATTTCCATTGCACTCGTTATATTACTATTGATAATATCATGTAGGTATACAGGGTGACCCAAAAACAATTTATGACAGCTAACTTAATTGTTTTTAATGCAAATATCAAATTTTTATTTCATTTTCAAATTCTACGTTTAACTCTGGACCTATATTATGTATCATGTCCTATCACTATCTTCAACTGTTTCAGAAATTGACAGTGAAAAATTTACTTTCTTGCAACTTTGATAGGCTGTAAAACTTAAACGTTAAATTTTAAAGCAAACCCGATCGTACATTTTTGTCTTAGTTTTCCATAAACTATTAATTGATACCAGCTTTGAATTTAGCCGGAGAATAAATATAACTGGAATTTTCAATCATGGATTAAAAAATTTGGCGTCAAATGATAGTTTATGGAAAACTAAGACAAGAATGTATAATCGGCTTTGCTCTAAAATTAACCGTGCAGGTTTTACAGCCTGTCAAAATTGCGATAAAGTGAATTTTCAACTGTCAATATTACCGAAACAGTTGAAAATATAGGTATAGAACATGATACATAAAATATATAGGTCCAGAATTTAACGTAGAATTGAAAAATAAAATATAAAATTGCTGTTTTCATTCGAAAAAATAAAGTTAGGTAGCTGTTATAACTTGATTTTGGGTCACCCTGTATACATTATAATATCATCAAAAAAACGGCCACTATAAAATCAGCAATCGGACGTGTCCGAGGTTTTTTGAAAAATAACAACCCTGTATATTTATGGATTTTATTCCAACCTTTACGTGCTAACTGTATAATGGTAATATGTTATAAACTGCCATGAAAGAGATATTGAAAAAATAACCTATTACCTATTTTTTACTGCAGAAGGAAAATAAATTTTGCATATGCCTAGCAGACGCTACATTTTTATTTTTTGAGCTCAGCACTGACATAATTCTCAGTGGTTGACATCTCCGAAAAGAGAAAATCGGTTAGCATAATCTGCCATTAGCTGACGGTTTATGAAAGTTATATAAAAAAAATTATATTCGCCTCCAACTTACCTAATCTTCTAACCGATCATTGTTCAGGTTATCTAATAATTATTTAGCTACATTTTGGTAGTCCATGCCACATTTTTACTCGGAGTCTCGGAGGTGAAAAACATTACAAAAATTCGGGCGCGGGCCTCTTTAATATGATTTGCAGGCGTTATTATTATTTGTAGACCAAACAATAATTGAGACAAAATGAAGCTAATAAAATTCCGCAGTTTTTTGTCTAAAGAGAAAAATTATATCTCAACAAACATCGAAGTTAGAGCAGGTTGAAGATAATTAAATATTTATTCTCTTTTAGATTGAATGATAAAAGCTATATCTTTTTGTCTGAGAAATGAAAAAAATCCGAAATGTTACATGTCATAATGAAGGGCAATGAAAACTCTTTAGAATCGTGAAATCATTACCCCTATGACTTAATTAGTTTTTTAGTAATTAGGCTTTAGAAACAGAACCTATCAGTTGACCATTTTTCTTCTTTTTCTTGAATAACTTTTATCACGACCAAAAATAAAAGTCGCCATATAAGAATTTTTCGTAGGAAATGTTGTAACTTACAATATTTTCTAGGTTTTATAAAATTATACCGAAATATTGGGTTCATTAAAAAAACTACGTCTTTAGAACGCTTGGCCGGCCGCCTACGTGTTGCTACTATTAAAACTTGGTAATTGTGGAGAACCGTTTTCCAGGGGATCCCCGTATACACAGCTTATTAGAAAACCCAGGTGAGTGGAAATATCTTTTGTGTGTTTCGTCAACCCTATGGTATCATTTTCATTTCTATTTCTATTTGTTTGCGCAATTTTCCAGTCGCAGTCCAGTTTACTAAATTTCAAATACTATTGCGTAAACATAAACAATTGATCTAATTAACATAACTTTCTAGTTATGTTGATAATATAATTTGCATAGTGAGGATAAATACCGTGTTTTTATTTAGAATTTTCTTTTTTATTTATTTTCTCAACATGGACGGTTTTTTAATAGTAAGTGTACGGGTAATTATATTTTTAGTTGCTTTATCCAATTATGCCAATTTCGGAAATAAGTTAAAGAGCCCATTATTATTATGATGTAAAAATCTACATTTCAAACATATTTCTCGATAAAAAAAACTCATAAGGCGTTTTTATTACTTTTGTCAACTCCTTGTTAAAAAATGATAGTGGTTTCCCTTCCAAAATCTTGAAATAGGTATAGGTGTAGGATAAAATCCTTACCTTTTGTTAAAATTTCCGATATTTTCAATTTGTCATCCTTTACAGATTGTGACACTGATTCAAGGAATTATTCGAAAATACCATTAAGTTCTTGGGAAAAGATTCACCCATACTTTTGTTAAATTTTATGATATTTTCAACCCATCAACCCTAGTAGAAGTACTTGTCTTTTTACATTAGAAACATTCATTACAATTTAGTGGAACGGCCCCATTGAAAACGCCTTGACAGTTTTTTTTATGGGGAAATATTTTTTAAATTTAGTTTTTACACCATTCTATTTCTGGCTAGAAATAGAAATCCAGGCTAACTTCACGCACATAAAATTTTCTTTCATAAAGTTTCTGGCCTATTTAAAAATACTGGTTTTATTTGTTTAAGGGATTTTTCAAGAATGCATTTTTAACGTGTTACTAAAAAAAAACTCATGAAAATTGTTTTAACTTATACAAAATCTTATATTTCATCAATTGGACATAATAATCAGTAACTCTAAAATATTACTTAAGCATAGTAATTGAGGTTAGCCTTCTTCTTAGCCTGTACCTCCATGATAGCATCCATATAATCTTCGTGAGTCACTGCTGTAGCATTCCTTCTCAGAGCGATCATACCAGCTTCAACGCAGACAGCTTTACACTACAGAAGAAATTACATATTAAAAATAAATAAATAAATTCTCACAGATCAAATGAAAAATCATAACTTTCAAATGACTTGCATCTATTTTCCAAAATTGAATATCGTATGTATTTGTTTTTTTTTTTTCATGTTGAATAACTGAACAGTATCATGCCATTTTACTAGCAAAGTGACAAGTCAATATAAAATTAGTAAAAGCAGCTACTAATTTCCATTTTTTTTGCTTCAAAATAAATAAAATATATGAGTACATACTTGGGCTCCATTGAAGTCATCAGTACTCCTAGCCAATTCTTCAAAATTAACATCAGGATTAACAGTCATTTTCCTTGAATGAATTTGCATAATCCTAGCTCTGGCCTCCTCATTCGGATGTGGAAATTCGATTTTACGATCCAAACGTCCCGATCTTAACAGGGCAGGATCCAAAATGTCTACACGATTTGTGGCTGCAATTACTTTAATATCCGCTGTGGAACTGAAACCGTCTAACTGATTCAAAAGTTCCAACATGGTCCTTTGAACTTCCCTGTCTCCAGCTTTTTCAGAATCAAAACGTTTAGTACCGATAGCGTCCAATTCATCGATAAAAATAATTGCTGGAACTTTTTCCTTGGCCAAAGCAAAAGCGTCTCTGACTAATTTCGCACCGTCGCCAATAAACATTTGAACTAACTGAGGACCTGCCAGTTTCAGGAAAGTCGATTTGGTTTGAGCGGCACAAGCTCGAGCCAGTAGTGTTTTTCCAGTACCTGGTGGCCCATATAATAAAACACCTTTTGGAGGTTGAATGCCCAAGTTAACAAACTTGTCTTTGTGAGTCATTGGCAATACCACTGCTTCGATTAATTCTTGTATTTGTTTGTCTAAGCCACCGATGTCTGAGTATTGTTCTGTTGGTCTTTCATCAACCTAGAATAATTGGAAAATTAATTAATTAGCAAGGAGTTTAATAATAGAATACATAAAATCAACAATTATTTACAATCATCAATAATAAATACTGGTTTAATTACAAAAAGTAAACTTCAGTCTTCTCAATTAATTTTTTTATTTGTTTCTTTGTTGAAAAACTTAGGACATGTTTCGGGATTATAAAAATCCCATCATCAGCTGAAATAAGTACAAAGGAGAACCTACAAAGTAAATTTAAAAACTTACCCAGAAATTATTCCACACTGTATGTACACCCCTCAAGGGATAAAACTACCCATTTATATAAGGTGAAAATCGAAAGATATGGAGTGGAGTGAAGCCCCAATTTTAACAAATATCAAAACAGAACCCTATTTTAAAAAATTATTTATTTAATGGCTTTTCAAGAGCTTTTATATCGTTTCTTACCCTACGTTTTATAGAAACAAAAATAGAACCTCTAATATTCCACTTGACTCAATATGCTTCAAATTCTTTATTGATGCTATTACACAAACATAGTGCTTACACAAGTCAAAGTTCAACATTTGCGAACCATATTATTAACGAGAAACATGATTTCAACCCTGAAACGGGTGTCAAACTTACTTAATTTTGTAACTTCGGAACTAGGTTGAATTTACTTGAGTTATCAGAAATTAATAAAACCTTAAAAGATCCTGAGATTAATTGCATAAACGATCAAATTTGATTTGATTGTCTTTCTTATTTTTGGTTAATTCATTAGTTTTCTAATCACCAAATTCCAAACTCCATCTATGACATAATTTCAATTCAAATAATTCAAATAGTACCTAAGTCGAGACCTAAGTATCCTTCTTCAAAAGAAATATTAAACCTTAAGTATTCACGGCTAGATGGAGCTAATATATTGTTTCGTTCTACCAGTGGAGTGTCAACAATAATAATAATAATAATAATATCACAAAATATAAATTAATCATGATTCACAGTTTCCTATTTTGTCGTCCACAGAAACGACATAAAAGCCATTGAATAAATAATTTTTTAAAATAGAGTCCTGTTTTGATATTTGTTAAAATTGGGGCTTCACTCCACTCTATATCTTCCGATTTTCTCCTTATATAAATGGGTAGTTTTAGCCCTCGAGGGGTGTATGTACAGTGCGTTTCGGAATAATTTCTGAGTTTATTAGTTTAAATTTATGTACAGGGTTATTCAACGAAAGTGCTTTTTACCTTATATAGGTACCTGTTAATTGAAGAGATACAAAAACAAATTAGAAATAAAAGTTGTTAGGATTTTTATGGGTAATTAGTAATTAGGAGCTTTTATCACTAAAAAAATGGAAAGTCAGTTTTAGAAAATATAGCAAAAAATGTAACATTTCTTCTACATAATTCAGCTTCACCTGATTTACGTTCTACCAACGAAAATTAAGTAAAAGGTGAACCAACGAAAGCAAAATTTTTCATATTTGATCTGATATTGGACACATTTTGAATATAATAATTATAAACAATAGTAATAAGCAAGACTATATACACGGGATTTTACCACTCTCACTAGCTTCCGACGATGAAATATCCTTTTTTTCGTAATTTATTTTGAAAAATCATTGATTAGCGATATCTCCAAAATTGCTAAACTTAACTATAGGACATGTTACATAGATCAGGGCTCAGATTTAATGTGGAATCCAAAACATATTCAAAAATGGGTAATTCCATTTAAATTAAGCAAGAAATGTAACATTTCTTGCTATATTTTCTAAAGCCGACTTTCCATTTTTTTTATGATAAATACTCCTAATTCCTCATAAAAATCCAAACAACTTTTACATGTATTTAAAATTTTTTTGTATCTCTTCATAGGGTTTTCCCGTATATTTTTACACCCCACCTGTGTCCTTATTCTTGAAACAGGGGAGCAGCGTTCCCAGGTGAACGAGTGTTCCGTCTTTGTTACTTATACATATTATTAGTGATGCGACGAATAGTAGTTTAGCCGAATAACTGAATACCGGATATTCGGCTGAATTTAAACCGAATATTCGGCCGAATACCGAATAATTATTAAAGCATGTCAGAATTCAAATATTATAAAGAAATAGCCTCGACTAATAAGGACTTTGATCACTCCAATCGCAAAAACGATATTTCAATTGAGTTAAGGCTTATTTATCAGGTGAAATTTTAAACAAAGACCATTGTCCATTTTCTTGGTGGAAGAAATACTGTTCAAAATATCCAAAAATGAGCCACCTTGGAAAGGTCTTTTTATAAGCTCCTTCAAGTACCGTTTACAATGAGCGACTATTCTCAGAAACTGGAAACCTGTACGAGAATAGAAGGAATCGATTATTATCTAGATAACCTAGAGCGGAGCATTTGGTCTTTCATAATAACCTACCACTATTGAAGTTCAATATTGATTTTACTACCCCTTATTGTTCTGCTATGCTTATATTTTTTTAGCATGTTCTTTGTTGAGTTGAATTTCTTAACGCCAGGATGTCTACTCTCGAAACCGGGGAACAGCGTTCTCACGAGACCGATTGCTCGTCATTGTCAGTGTTATGGATATAAATGTGAATGACTGACAGAACCTCTGTTTTCATGAGAACACTGCTCCCCTGTTTCGAAAATAAGGGCCCAAAAGTTTGTATTTTCATTTTCTTTTTCGAATTGATATTAATTAAAAATACCTTTGTTGAAAAATTCAGTAAAATTTCCAAACATGAAATATTCGGTAGTGAAAATCCAATATTCGGCCGAATACCGAATAGCGAAAATAACGCCGAATAGGCCGAATACCGAATAATTATTCGGCTTCGGTCACATCTCTACATATTATAATCATTTACATATCATTGATGTTAATCCAAAAGATGTGCAGATTTAGCTTAATTTTTAGAATCCATCGTCAGGAATAGAAATTTATTTTTAGAAATTTGAAATTTTGCGTACTTTCAACTTTTTTCAAATGTATTGCCCTATTATACATATTTGATTCTATATTCTTAGAGAGCACAATTTTCTGATTCCAAAAATATATAGTTTTCCGTTTTTCTATATTTGGTTGAGCCGTCTAATTAATTTCAGGTTCACTTATTTGTCAGTTTTGAAAAAAAAAAGTCATTTTATAGGTAGAAATCGCAATGTAATAAATAAAAAACCCTATGTCCTATTTTCCTTTATTATCACATCTTTCAAAAAGAAACAAATATAAGAATGGGAGGCGATGTTAGAATTGTCAGATAGTTCCAAGCTATACTAGCGCCACCATGTGCTACAAGAAATACGTTGCCACATGGCACATATGAATCGGTAACTCTTACCTTGGTTTATTATATTTCTTCATGCCCATGGGCTAGTATTATTTTGACATGATTGGGTGATTTGTGTCACATGACAAGAAATAACAAAATTTAACTGGCTGTTAGAACTGTCAAAAAAATTTCAGAGAAACCAAATGCCTCAAATTTTACCTGCAGCTGTCAATGTGGCTGTCACCTTGGCAGGTAGAATGGTTCACAAAATCTAAGGCAGTAGGATAGTATTTTTACAATTTTTAGAGCCAAATATGTTGGATACGGCTCAACCAAATATAGAGAAATTATATACATATTTTTGGAATCGGGAAATTGTGCTCTTCAAGAATATAGAATTGAATATATAGCATTCCATTTGAAAGAAGTTGAAAAGTACGCAAAATTTCAAATTTCTGAAAGTATGTAAATTGTTGTTTCTGATGATCTCAATGGATTCTAAAAATTTAGCTAGAACTCCACAACTTTTGTATTTACACCTATCATCTACATGTAAAGGTAATAGTCCAAGAGCTGGCAATACTAACGAGTATGTGATCTATTTCTTCATGAAACAATAGTTCATAGTAACCTTTCAACCAAATGGATGGGTTGCCTTGATTTTCATGGCCGTAAAGTTGTTTTATGAAAAGATACTTTTATAAATAGTACAAAACCATAATCGCAACAAATAAGAAGTACCTTGCGGTGTAGGGGGTTCTCATCGTATGCGACAAACACTTTATTAACACAATTTCCTGTTTCTTTTTTTGTCTAAAGACCTACAGCCGTATGCAAAATCCTCTTCACAGAATCATCTTTTAATTTTAAAAGTACGACTTTGAAAGCTGTCACTTTCAAAAATTTGTATTCAGCAAGCAAAATAACGCGCGCGCTCGACTTTCAATGAGGGTCGCCATCATTTTCGGCCAGCAAAATCAAAGCAACCCTATATATTAGTTGAGAAGACATATTAAAGAATATATCTACCAATTTTCAGCTATTGCAACGATAACATTGTTTCTTCGAAAAAAGAGGGGTAGTTTACGCCCGTCCACCAAAGGGTTGCGGCCATGAGAATCAAGGCAACCCATCCACTTAGTTTGAAGGTAACTATGTGCTATTCTTTTATGTGAAAATTATCCATTGCAACGATCATATACCCGTTAAGGCCGCAATAACCCCCCTTCAAATTAGATTTTAGTTAAAAAAAAAAAAAATAAGATGGCGGTGCCAAGATTTAGTATTTGAATTATTATAGCGATTTCAATTTGCAGAATCAGTGCAACTTTTCTCACTCAGTTCGCACTGATTGCCGAATGGAAATTGCCATTATTATTTTGCCTGGCCAACCACAATGCTCAAAGTTGACCTTGACATACTTATTTTTCCTATTTTATTTTATTAGGAAAGAATTGGGACAGATATAGGTTTATAGAACAGGTTTTTGTTTATGAAGAAATTGCCTTGTTTTGATTTCGGAATCTTTTTACTAGGTAATTAATTTTTTGACTATTTTGGAAGGGATAATGAAAAACATAATATAGTTTATTATTATTGAAGTTATCATCGTGTTTCGCTTTCAATGTGCGTATTACGACCTATGTCTGTCTTTGTTTATTTTTTAGTATTAGACAAAGAACAAAGAAAACCTTTCACTCGTTTGGTTGGACCGTCGTTGAACTTTGGACTTTGGTCTTGGCGA